GGTCCCCATGGGTACAAAAGCTTATAAATCATACAGAATGAGTTTTTTTGAGAAAGTAAAAATGCAGAAAGTTTCCTGTAAGGGGTAGGTTTAGGTGTACGGTTAGTGTAGGGCAATAGAAAATACAGTTTGTACAGTATAAAAACCATTATGCCTATGGAGAGTCCCCACAAGGATTGCTGACCAGACATGTGTGTGTGTGTGTGAGAGTGTGTGTGTGAGTGTATACATATGCATTTATACTGCATATATATATATACGATCATTATTATTATTAAATGGGATTTATAATACTAATAATTATTCTCCCATATATAGATATAAAAGAAAACAACAGACTTATGTGCTATAATAATACAAGTCAAATGGTTCAGTATCCTACAGGATGTTCTGACAGTTCCACGGTTTCCTCCTAATACAGGTTTAGCATTGCTCGACATAATCGAAACCTGTTCTCTCTCAGTGCCAAAGACACGGCCGGTCATCTGAACGCTGTCAGTTTCTGTCACCGCCGCGTGGAAAAGACATATCCTCACATTTAATCGTCCTAGAAAGGTAGTAAACGAACGAGCGGTTTTAAACGATGAGACATGATCGTAAATAAGACGCCGGTAGCGGTTAGCATTAGCTTAGCTTCATGAACATCACAGCACTGTCGTGTTAGCTAGCGCTCATAATGCGACATATGACTAATATCACGCAACATGCGTCTTTGACAGGGCGGATATAACGATATAGATGTACATAGACACAGATGAGCCAATTCGGGCGTTATTTGTTTAGATGTAATAGCTGTTTCTAGGTAGTTGAGGTAGTGGATTAGCTGCAGTGGTGAGGATGGAGGCTCTTCGTGGAGGTGTGTGTTTACTAGGATTTGCCAGTCTCACACAAGCTGCTCCAGTCTCAAATACACACGCAGGTAAGATGTCAAACACTGTCAGTCACATTATAACGTGTGTTTGCTCATATTTCACTCATGGTTTCCTTTATAAAAGTGGGCTGCTATGGTATAGTGGGGTTGTGGCTAGAAGGCAAAAACCGGAAGCTAACAATACATTGAATTTTCTACCTATTAGATTGTTTTATTAACGTCTACACCCATTATACGACTGATAGACTGCAACGGTTAAAGTTAAAAATCCTCATATGTGTTCTACTGAAGAAACAAAGTCACCTACATCTTGGATGCCCTGGGGGTAAGCAGATAAACATCACATTTTCATTTTTGGGTGAACTATCCCTTTAAAATGTCAAAGTATTAACAAATTACTTTCAGCAGACCATGAATAACCTCAAAAGCTCACATGAGTGTATATTGACAAGTCTTTATTATGTAACATACGCGAATGTTGCGTGAATGAAAAAAGTTTATTATCTGGAACATTGATGCATTATTCAAAGTGCTTTCTGTCATTTTGACATAAATTATATTTGCCCTCTCTAATAAATTTCCAGTAAACTCCGCTGATAGGGATTAGCAGTGAGAAAATTAGTTTTAAAACACCCATGTGAAAACAAACTGGGAAAGAGGCACGAGAGATACCTCTTTCCCAGACAAAACAAGAGATTCTTAGTTCATTCCAGTGAATTATTCATGTTCATTAAATCAGGAGAGTAGACCACAAGAACACAGTATCTGTTGTCTTCTCCAAATATTTACAGCAGAAAAAAAAATCAGGTGAAACAGAACCAAGTTTCATACTCTTGATACCAATGTCACATTAAAATACCAAGCGTTACATTATTTTCCTTATGGATAAAAATAGAGCATGACGCCAAATACAGCTCATTCAGTCAAACTGACAAATAAGGTTTATTTATAAGCATAACTTTATTATTTGAAATGATTTGTTTCTGTCATTTTGAGTGAAAGTTCCCCCATAATTAGAAGTAAGTGCCACCCATTTAAAACGCAATAGATATGTTCAGACAAAGGTGTTTAGGCCTACTTCCCTTATGACTTACAGTAAGCCAACGCGTAAACCCAAGCATACCACTCTTATCAGTGGTGAATGATTTACTTGGTTAGAAGGTCTTTTAGAAAGATGACTTGGTAATTACAAGCACTTTATAATCCTGTTTAATCACATTGAACCATCTACATGTAATGACTATTATTTTTAAGACCACTTTCAACAAGGCCAGTTGGACCATTTGTCTCTCAGTAAGCAGATGGTCTGGTTAATTAGTAAGTACTGATGATGATGTAGTGAGGGAAGCAGTCAGCGCAATGTGATGAAGTCTGTGCTGATTAATAGCGCGTTGGTTTTGTGATTATATTTGTATTCAGGGTTCAGGCTTGATCAGCGGTCTTTGAAACTGTCAGGCAGGTGCTGCTGGGGTGTAAATATGTACTCTGACGGGGATTTGATTCCACTGTGATTCTTTTTAAATGATGCAGTGCTTTACGAAATCTGAAATTTGGTCTTGATTCTGTCTGATTCTTCATTCATTTTGACAATTTTGGTATGACAATTATGATGAAATATTTCATTTTAAATATTAGCTGCTGCAGCCACGTTTAATTTTTACATTTGAAAAAGGCAAAAATATACACATGAACATAACTAAAATGGACAATCGATTTTTATATTTTTGTAATTAATGCTTTGAATTTTTATTGTCAGATCAATTCATTGCAATGCATTGGTGTATGTTTAGATACCTGTCTTTCTATTTTACTCTGCCTTGTTAGCATTTTTTTCTCTGGTCATCTGTGTAATGTGTGAGTGTGCCGTCTTTCGTTTCTCACCCTCGCTGCATCTTCACATCGTTCCATGCAGATGAGCTAAATGTGGAAGGAGTGCTATTGATAGTTGACTTGACTGTGTTTCAGCTTGCTCCTATGACACAATTTCTCAGCAACCGTTTTTTTGAAACGCCCTGTTCCTGCACCTTGTGGGGTGTTGTCAAAAAAAGATGATCATTTACACACAAAACGTGACTTAATCATCATTGTTTATTTTCAGTTGGGCAGGTGCAGTCATGCTGGCATTATCCAATAACATTATAAGAAATCTAGCAACAGTGCTTTAAACCAGTCAGACAGTCATTTTAGCAAATGAAAACAGCTTTGCACAGCGCTAATCCTTTACAGACAGTTGAGTGATTCAAATGGACAGACTAACCCTAACTTGTATGCAAAACTACGCATTTTCAAAATCAACTGTTCATAAGGTTTGTTGTCAAAGGTGGCACATTTTTTTTACAGAATTGGTGCTTTGATGGCGGAAATTTTGTTTAGAGTCATAATCCTTATAATCTTGCAAATGTTGTATTGTACAAGGTCCTTTTTCCATTTACTGAAGTTCACCCACACAGCACTTTATTTTTAGCACACTGACAGTCAGCCAGTATAGATCTATGATGTTCGTTAGTCTCGAAACACACAATGTAAACCCCAAATCATCAATATAAGGCTATTAATAAATATAATGATAATTGTGACCACAATATTTAAAACTACCTTAATCTTAGCATTTTAATATTATCTTAAAAATGAAAGACCTCATGACAAGACTTTAGACCCTGTTTACACATGGCATTAACTTCAATCAAATTGAATCAAGTGGTCAGCGATGAATACGGGTGTAAATGAGGTCTTGTGATTTTGTGATCTGAGACCGTCTGAAATCTGTGTGACCACATTGCATGCGTAGTTTAAGCGCTTACCTGTCCTGAACGACCCAGGCCCATTGGAAAAACATGCCTCTACTACCTACATTGTTGCAAAACAAAAATGTACCTATACATTAGAAGTCGACCGATTGATCAGTTTTGCCGATTAATCAGCACCGATAGTTAATTGCTGGAACTATTGGCTATCGGCAAAAATCCATTTATAGTCTTTCCGGGTTGTATCCGCTATCATTATAAAGTATTAGAGCGAAATCACTGACACCGCGTGCTGTTTGTTTTGACATGTGACACCGCGCGCTGCACAGAGCGGGACACTTCAGATGTGGATTTAAAACAGACAACGAAACATGTGTAAACCGTATACTAGGGCTGCACGATTAATCAAAATTAAATCACAAAGGCGATAAATCGCGATTAGGCAGAAGCTGCGATTGTCATGCGTATCTTTCAGTGAAGCACGGTTCTGTGATCAGCAGTAAATCTCCATCCGAAGGCCAGAGGGCGCTCTCGCGCTGAAACTCCAAATACTCCTCGCAGAAGAAACCCAGGAACGTCTACTCAACGTGACTAATAAACACATGACTACGACACTAATTTTAAAGGGCTTTTGAAAACCTAGAGTTATTCAGCCAAGAATAGCAACTAAGTTAGCGAGAAAAAAATAAAAAAAGGCCCAGAACTGCTTTTCTGACGTGCCGTAGTTCACTGACAAGCTACGCAAACAGCTTTCATAATTGCAGAACGATTTCTTCGATTTCATAATATCACGATTAAATCGTCTGCGATAGTTTTGTCACGGTACCAAAATTTCAGTATTTGGTACCAATACCAGTGAAATCCATGGTTCTCGGTACCAATTTCCGTACCAAAGCAAAACACAAAAACATGCTAATTACAAAATTTGACTATACTTTCATTTAATCCGGTAATCAAATAAGCGCTGCGCTCACAAACGCTGCTTTATCAGGCATAACAGGCAAGATGAAATGAAAATGACATTCATAATTTTCTGAAGACAGTCAGTTTCCTTCAGAAATACAGTGATATAAAAACACCCGCACTGGGTTTCGACTTTGTGCAGTGCTCATGTTTATTCAACAAAGTCAAAGCCTTTTGGAAAATCTTTTTGTGGCGGTCAGTTTTGATATTGTGGCGGTCCGCCACAAGTAAATCAATGTATGGGAAACACTGATCTAAATATTAAAAATTAAAATGAAACTTACCTGCTTGAACTCTTTCATTTGATCCGGGTGTCTGTCTTTAAAGTGTTTTGTTAGTTTGGTGTGTTTCCTCATTTTGAGGTCGCCTTGTGTCAGTGCTTTTATGAAGAGAGCGCATCTGCGCACCTTTTGGATAGTGCATCAAGAACCGGGTTGACCGGGTACTCGGTACCACCGGTACTTAAAAAAACCTGGTACCGTAACGTTTTCATTTTTTTAGTACTGACTTGATACCGAAGTACTGGTCATAGTCTGCGATTATGAACGCAATTTTGCGTATCTTGTCAGTGAACTCTACGGCTCTGTGTAGTAAATGCTGCTCCATCTGAAAGCACGTGCTGGAGATTTACTACTAATCACAGAACCGGCTTTACTGACAAGATACGCATGACAATCACATTCAATTAATCGTGCAGCCCTACAGTATACTAAAGTGCATGTTTTCATATCCTTACTATGTAATAAATTTTTTGACTAGATGTTGAAGAAAGATCTGCAGATTGCTTTCAAGGCTGAGAGGATGCGAATATTAGTATTACCTCAAGCGGTTAAAATAATGTGACCAAAACACACGCAAGTCTGACCCAAATGTTTAATGTCACGATTGTTACCATCTACCCAGTAGTTTATGTCCAGCTGGTCACATTAATCAACCCTCTACGGACACCTTGGCAATTGAATCGCCATTGGCTAGTACATTTTTTAGTTTACTCGCCAGACTGCTATATATATATATATATATACATCTCTCTCTCTCTCTCTCTCTCTCTCTCTCTGCGTGTGTGTGAGACAAAGTGATGGCGAGTCGTGCGCCTTCACACTAGAGTTAACGTTACGTGCGCTGCGCATCCATTGAGATGAACTGAAAAACAGCGCAGATTGCTTGATGGAGAGTGAAACTCGGAAGCGCTCAGTCAGAGAGTGTTCGGCGAGTGAAAATATAATTAGCCATTGGCTAATATTAGACATCGTTTAGTCGCCCAGAGTGAAGATTTAGTCGCATATGCGAGTGATTTACTCACAATGTAGAGGGTTGTTAATGTATTTGTTAAGTACAGAT